TTTCAAAGGCAATAATAGATTCTGATTTGAGTGCATTGTCACCTAAGTTGCCAGTAGGGGGGCAGTATTCTTCACTTTTAATTGAGATTTCAGCTTAAACCTAATATATTAATACAATATAGGTAAAACAAACAAACATAGTTACACTGTATATGGGGGAATTAACATGGCCATAACACAGGTCATTTAATTAGAATGAAAAACAATTCTAACAAGGAATATGCTGTACAAGACATTCTAGGAAGCAACATATGGTATTAAATTCAATTAAATATAAGCCACTATTGGATTTGAAGTTATTTCTGTTGGTTTTATTCATTGCAATCTAAATTTAAAATAATAATAGGTTTATTTTATAACTGTGAAAGTCAAAGTAAACAACAAGACAGTTTGGCGTAAACGGCAGGAGCAGGACGGCAGGTGCTAAACATTGCAGGTGCTACACCAAACACAGTAAAATGGACAGTTAAGTTTTGCACCTACCTTGCTAACACCATTTAATAGTTCTCCTGGAGCACTTCTGGAGCTTGGAGTGGAAAAGGCCTGAACAACCCTGAACCTGCACAAGCTTCACCTGTCACTGGGCCTGACAGGAGCAACTGTTTCATGGAGCTATATACACGACCAGTCAAAGGTTTGGACGCACTTTTCACTTGTGTCTTTTCGGACTGTAAGTGGCACATTTTTTTCATGGCTTGGGTGGTCCTGTGACTTATACTCCGATGTGAGTTATATATTAAAATTGTCACACTGACAGCCACAAGTGGGCGCTCTAGTCATGTGTGCCACTAGCTGCTACTACTATTACTAATGTACCACTGTCACTTCACACTACTGCACATGTCTCCTGCAGAAAGAGCCACTGTCCTGTCTGTATCATGTCAGTCGATCACACCATTACTTCTATATCAATGAAAATTTAAAATTTAAACAAAATTATAAAAACAATTGTGAAGACTGAACACAAATGCCCTCAAAAAGAAAATCATATTTTGCAGATTACAAGCTGCAAGTTGCGTAATATGCAGCTGAAAAGCAGCAGAAAGTTTGGAGTGAGTGAGAAACTTGTGACACCAGGAAGGTGCGCCATGCAACTCTCCTGGAAGTCATTGGATGGATCGATAAAGCATGAACTTCAGTGACATTCGAAACCATTCCTGTCGGGATTCAGAAATTTTAACTGGCAATGATGCTGAGTCTGACAACAGCTACGCAGAAGAGGAAGCGGTACCCTGTTTACCTCCAGAGGTCACAGAGTTGTTCAGAAGTGACACCGAGGATGAAGAATTCAGTGGATTTAGTGATTTGGAGTGAGATGGAGAGTTTGTTAAACTTGTTCTGTTCTGTTGTTTATGTTATAGTTTATCTGAAGAACTGTTCATATGTGACGTTAACAGTCTGTTGTTCTCTGTTCTATTCTTATTACTAGAACTTGTCTTTCAACATGAAATGTCTGTTCTTGGTCTCTGATTTTATAAAATAAATTTCCCCCCAAAAGTGCGACTTATATATGTATTTTTTTTTCTTCTTAACTACGCATTTTTGGGCTGGTGCAACTTATACTCCAGAAGGACTTCCAAAAAATACTCAAAAAAAAATTAGTTGGGCTATTGCTTTTGTCTTTGCTACATAATTGCATACATCTTACATCATATATTTGATGTCTTCTGTGTGTATATAAAAATGTATAAAGTAGTAATTCCGCTTATCCGGGGCCAGTGTGCGGGTGCAGCAGTCTAAGCAGGGACTCCCAGACTTCCTTCACCCCGAGCACTTCCTCCAGCTCCTCCGGGGGGACCCTGAGTAGTAAATGTAAAAACAAAACAAAAACAAAAACAAAAACAAAACAAAAAAGATTGAAAAAATAATGTTGTGTCTCTGCAGTGTCCCTCCTGAGTCTCTCCAGCAGTGTCTCTCTTGTGTTCGTCCAGTGTTTCTCCTGTGCCCCTCTTCTGTCCCTCTTGTGTCCTTCTTCTGTCCCTCTTGTGTCCTTCTTATGTCCTTCTTGTGTCCCTCTCTCAGCCTCAATACGAGCTTTGTCCTGGGAGATGAGCCGGGGGTCACAATCTGGACAAGCCTGGAAAATATCAGTCTTCAGAAAATCTATGGGTCAAATATTGTTCATTATTTCGGATTTTGTTTTTCAGCAAATTAAAGCTACAGTGTGAGTTCAAATTAAAACCATACACCATACACAAGGTTCTATATTACAAAATTGACTCTTATGAGCTTTAAGTCATTCAACAAACCTGGAGTTGTGTTTTTTCATTCACATATAATTGAGCAACCGTTTATTATTAGTCTGTCTACATCTCCAAAGCTCAAAATGCTCTGTACCACCTTGTGATGTCATGAAGCGTTAGTTTTTAAGAAAACAGCTACTTAAATTCAGTAGAGATTAGCAATTCCTGGTCTGAAATCATCCAAATGCTTCTACAAAATTTGTATGGAGTTTGAAAACACAGTGGAGCACTTCTTGTATTACCATGTGACATCACAAGGTGGAACAGAGTGTTTTCTATTTGAGAGAAGAACTCAACCTAAATATGCTGGGTTTTTGTGTTAAACATGTGTCAAAGAAACAAAACACAACTTCAGATCTGTCTGAGATGAGGAAACGGTGTTATAACTTAGATAAGAAAATTGCGTAATAAATGTTCTTTAAGTCATAGCACCAGGCCAAGTAAGAGTCCAGTTTGTGGAGATGCAAGCTCACTCAAAAGAAGAACACATGTTTTTTTCAGTGCAGGGTGCAAAAGTCCCAAACTGTGGCTTTAACAAATAAAGTAAGAAGAAAGACAGATCTCATTGTACCCACTTGCACAAAACGTTAATTTTAGTGGTCCATATGCTTTCTGATCTAGGTTATAATGTTTCCTCATCACAAAAAGGTACAAAAACAGTAGCTGTCAACTTGAAAACTACTATTTTATGACATCACAAGGTGGAAGAGAGCATTTTGAGCTTTGGAGATGTAAACAGACTAATAATAAAGGATTACTCAAACAAAACACAACTCTAGGTCTGTTTTTGAGCAGGTAACAACATTCTAACATGACTTAAAGCTCACAAGAGTCTGGAGAGGTGATCAAAAAAGTGGACAGATACGTTTTTAAGATTTCTGACATTGGCATCAATAAAGCAATGACAAGAAGTGGCTAAAAAGGAACGACTGTCAGTGAATCAGTGGCTAGACATCATAGAAGAAATATATTACATGGAACTCGAAGGACATTTCTTCATTAAACGCTGGACAAAATGGTTGAAATAAAAACAAAAACAGACTTGATCCACCCTTCCACATCCTTAAGGCAGCAGAACAGCTTTGTATTGGTTGTATTTGTTTGTTTGTTTTTTACTACACAAAACTTGAAAAACTGAATGAATAAAAATCTCACAAGAGTCATTTTGGTGTAGTATAGGACCGTTAAAGGTAGCCTGATTCAGCCGTAGCCGTAGCAGCATTAGGATTTGTTCACTCGACGGTAGGCAGGTACTTTTTTAATTTAACCAATCGAGAACCCCTTCTTTAAGAGAAATTCTTCTGGCACTTTACACAAAACTGTGAAAAAAGTGAGGAAGTAGGTAAGATTTTTAAACCTGTTTTTTAAAGTTCCAAACTGGAGTTGCATTCTTTTCTGGTTTTGCAGTGATATTTACCAGCCTCTGCACGTTTACCAAACCAAACGCACATCGTGACAAACACAGATGCATTTGTGCACTTTTGTTAGGCAAACTTCAGCCACAATGTGGCAGTAAGGTCTGTTCTGTAGATCCGCTCTGTGCTGTAGACCTGCTTTGTGCCAACACTGGAACACAAATTTACACTCGTTTTTGCTTCACGTTTGGTCTTGCTCTTCTAATCAGCGCACTGTGGAAGGGGCTTGTGTTCGCTGTACGCAGGAAGGAGCGAGAGCGTGAAAAGGTGAGGTTCGGCATGCTGACGTGAGGCAGATGGACAGGTAGGATGTTTAGGAAGTTTAACCTGCCCTGTGATGCACGCTGGTACACGAGGGCACACGCTGTTGCAGACGAGCCGTGCACAGGGAGCGTGCGAGTCTCCGCGGGCTGCACTGAGCGCACAGGCTGCACTGAGATGCCCCATACGCTCCTGCACCCCGCTACAAGTTTATTGCCAACAGCAGCGGCCATAATGAAATATCATCGCACTTGTTGAGTGTCAGACCTTGAGTGAGAGACGAGACCGAGTCCAAACGCGAGTCCGAGACGAGTACTAAGACACGGCGATCTACCCACAGGACCTTGGCGATCGACTGGTAGATTGACGTATTGAGCACCCCTGGTCTAGTGTATTCTGATTCTTGACCTAGTCGCTGGAGAGAAATGAAATTGAGTGGAGGCACCAGGTGGTGCCAGCCTGGCTACTTTAAAGGTGCATTGTGTAACTTTTCTGGTGGAGTGTCCATCAAATGCGTTTTTCCATGAAGATGTTATTGTTTTATCCGAAATGTTTCACAGTATGACTTTAAACCTTTCTATCTTCATGAAGACCAAACCAGACCAAGTTACAGGTCAGATCTGTGGAGAGGCGATGCCACGCATAGTCTGAATACCAGTATTTTTGAGCTATAAAACCACCTGTCATTGAATAAATCTAAGGTAGATCTGTTTAATGTCATACTGTGGAACATTCCAGGCAGTGCTACAACATGTCCATAGAAACAGATGAAAGACCCCCCAACCAAAACGTTAGATAGTTTACGTTACAAACAGTTTGCAACGTAAACTAAGTTACAAACTGTTACTTAACTGGTGTAAAACTGTATATTTACCTCAAGTGCAGTCACAACAAACCAACTCCTAAGTGGGAAACCATGCAAACCTGTCACATGCACTTTAAGTTTTCAAGCCTCCGTGTCTGTGTCGCCTCTGGCCGTGCGTCCCGTGCGTCCTGCGTCACTCGGAGCCCGCGCCGCTTTTGACGTCTCGTATAAAGTCTCCACTCTCCCTCCCCGCGCGCACTCTTCCTCTCAGATCACTCGTGGACGCCTGGATGTACCGCTGAGACACAAGTCTGTCAAACAAACCCCCATGGACTGCACTCCTCCGCGGGTCACCAGCTCCGAGCTCCGCCGAACAACCACCGCAGCTCCCCGGTCAACAACACCTGTCCCTCGTGGACGTCTGCGTGTCTCTGTTACTTTTGGATACTGACTTTTACGCATTGGATATGTGCACACAGGACGATGACAACCGCTTTTCTCATCGTAGAAGTAAAATAAAATAGGCTTTCCCTTTTCACTGGATTTACTCCTGCCGTTCCATATGAAGAAGTCAAAAGTGAGTAGTGTTTTTCCTTTATCCTTTCGATATTTCCGTGCAAACTTTAACACGTTTTTGAAAAGCAACGAACCCTTACAGCAAACTTTTACAATGCAGATGATGATGGTTTTACGCACACCGAGCTACAAACACAGACGATTTCTTTTTGGTTTGGGAATTTGCAGTACTTCTAAACGCACTGACAACACGTTTTGACAACTTGGAGCGAGCGCGCAGACTCCGCTCTCCCCGCGATTCGAGCGCTCTTCTCCGGTCACTCTCGCCTCTCGCACGGGGCAGGGTGCACGGTACTCACATTTGTTTACTTAATCCGGCTTGGAGACTACTGTACTACGTTACAACCCTACCAGTTTTGTTTCTCTTTTTAGTTTTTTACATCACAATCTCTCTCACACACTTCAGTCCTCGCTGTCACTTTGCGTTTTGGGCACGTTGGACACTTCTCCAAAAGCGCACGACGCGATCACGTTTTGACATAATTACAGTAGCCTACATAACATTCTGCGAATCAATTAACGCAGTAATTATCCAGTGATTTACGCACATCACGCGCTTCAAACACAATAACTTCACATAAACTTTGGAGGGAGCTTGACGTTTTCTCAATCAAACACGCCTTAATTCGTTAATCATGTTTTCCACACAAATTTAGCTACACCAAATAACTCTAATTTTATATCATTCTACCAAGACGCTGAACAACAACTACTGGTTCTTATAACAAGTTATGTAAATTGATGTAAATTATCGTGTTACTAAAGAAAACCTGTTCACCTCTTTGACGTACTTACCTCCTTTTGGCTAAGATTAATGCTTTCTTATAACTAACTTTTAAAATCTTCCATCTCCTGAGCGTAGCCCGTGGTGCGCACTCTGGGTGAGCAGGATGCCTTTCGCCAGGTAGAGAGCCCCCCAGGCGGCCGCAGTACCGGCTCCACCGTTGTCTCATTATACGCAACACTGAATTATTTTAACCCTACGTTTGTTTTTACGACACTTTCCAGCCACTTTGAGCGATCGAGTTTACGATAAGACCACTGGTGAAGTTAGAAATGCTTCGTTCACCCGGGCTTTTACGCATGGGACTGTTTTAACACGCTGCTTTAAGCCAGTTACAATGTTTTTATATTTAGTTGTTTCCACTCTCTAAGTGTGTAAATTAGATGACATCTTACTTTAAATGTCGTTTTAATTTTGATAGATTTCAATTATAACAGAGCGGATCTCAATCAGTGGTGCCGGTACCTCTATGGGGATATGGATTTCATGTGGTACCCAGGAGATTTAGGAGAATCCTAGTTTAAGGCTTTGGTTTTAGTCCTGGTTTAATTCTGGCTTTAATCCTAGTTTTGGTCGTGGTTTAGTCCTTGTTCTAGTTTAGTCCTGGTTCAGTCCTGACTTCTGCCTCGTTTTAGTAATATTTAACCAGGTCTTGTCTTGTCTATAACTTTGCAAATAATACAATGACTGGATATTTACTTTTTAACAAGTTTAAGGTATTGCCCTGAGGTAAATTTGTCCCACATGCATTTGACACGTCCTTGAGCGTCTCTGGGTTAAACCTGTCAGTGGGACCCATCTCCAGATCTTGAGCTGGTCTTGGTCAGGACTACCTTAGCTGGAAGATTTGACCTTTAGTGCATGTTTTGGTTTGACGGATCAAACCGGAGTGCCTGGAGGAAACCCACCCAGACACAGGAAGAACATGCAAACTCCACACGGAAAGATCCCTCATGCTTCCAGGGAATCTAATCTGGAGTATCGTTTTTTACAATTTTCCAAACAATATATAAAGGTATTTAGTTTACATTTAATACTGATACCGGAGCAAGCTGTGTACATGTTGTTTCCTCATCAAAACTATCCCCGAAGAGGTTTCAGATGTCATCCATGCATGTTTGAGTATTTTAGTGATCGCTTCCAGGCGCTATTCAAACCATCCTTATGATTAGTTTTAAGATTCTGTGCAATGCTCTGCCCACAACCCTATGTCACTCATGCTCCCACGCTACAATTCTCCAGAAATATACCAAACATGACAAAACTGTATGCAGCAACTCGACAAACCTGATGCGATGTAAAGGAGTTTCGGTAAAGGGATGCACGCTGATTGTGTTGAGATAGTGCTCTGAAGGGGGGGTGAGTAAGGGTGGATGTTGCGGGGGAAGGCTGCACTGACCAGACCAAGTCCAAATAGGCCCAAATATCAGGAAGAACTTGTAAAATCTACTTAGTCCTGGTTCAAATCCAGGTCCAGATTTTGAAGTGCACCAATAAAGTCCATATTTCAGTACTAGTTATTTGGTTTGCTAAAGAACTGTCATCAGTGCAAGCGAATGTTACATAGATGAAACCAGGACTAAAGCAGACCTAAACTATGATTAAACCAGGATTAAAGCAGGTCTAAACTATGACTAAACCAGGATTAAAGCAAATCTAAACTATGACTAAACCAGGATTAAAGCAGGTCTAAACTATGACTAAACCAGGATTAAAGCAAATCTAAACTATGACTAAACCAGGACTAAAGCAGATCTAAACTATGACTAAACCAGGACTAAAGCAGATCTAAACTATGACTAAACCAGGACTAAAGCAGATCTAAACTATGACTAAACCAGGACTAAAGCAGATCTAAACTATGACTAAACCAGGACTAAAGCAGATCTAAACTATGACTAAACCAGGACTAAAGCAGATCTAAACTATGACTAAACCAGGACTAAAGCAGATCTAAACTATGACTAAACCAGGACTAAAGCAGATCTAAACTATGACTAAACCAGGACTAAAGCAGGTCTAAACTATGACTAAACCAGGACTAAAGCAGGTCTACACTATGACTAAACCAGAACTAAAGCAGGTCTAAACCAGGACTTAACCAACCCTTAACCAGGACTGAACCAGAAATTAACCAGAAATAATTAGAACCAAGCCAGGACTTAACCAGGACTAAATTATGGCAGAACCAGGACTAAACCAGCACTAGACCAGGATTTAACCCGGAATAAACCAGGCCTTAATCAGGAGTTAACCAGGTCTAAAATAGGTGTAAAACAGAGTTCTATCATGATTAAACCAGGACTAAAACAAGACTAAGACTAAACCAGAACTAAAACCAGGACTAAACCAGGACTAAAACATGACTAAACCCGGAGTAGACCAGGACTAAACAAGGACCAAAACAAGACTAAACCAGGACTAAACCAGGTCTAATTTGAATAAGGTTTTGCATCATTTTGTCTTAATACCGCTCTTGTGGTGTAATAAGTGTGATAACCAACATTTGTTTAATTCTGACTTTTTTAAACGATTCCGTTCATCGGCTTTTTAATATTATCTTTAAAACGTTAAAAATGACTGAAAAACGTCAAACTATAACTGTCATATTCAGACCTGCTCATTTAAATGTTATAAACTTTTCACAAATTTCGAAGTCTGTCAAATTTTTGCTTTTTTTTTGTTTGTTTTCCACCTCTGCAGTCGGGGGTCAAAGGGCGTGGGCTTTCGAGTAATTTTCGGATTAGCTACAGAGATCCTCGCAAAGTGTTTCCGAACGGGTTTAGCAAAACTTGTAGATCTTTATTTAAGCTGAAACTAATGTAAACGTTGGAAGAAAGCTTTACGTTACAATTCAAAATTTCATCGCGTCAGGTTTGTGAAGTTGTAGTGTATTGTTTTGTATCCTGCTTTTAGAGAATTGCGAGAGAATAGATTAAATAAGATGTTTTCAGAATTTTTTAGCTGCTTAAAATACGCAAAATTCTTGGTTAAGGCTTCATGTCTAAGTTTTAAAATGTAAGCTTTCCATTGATTAACCCAGGTTTAAGTCTGAGTAAAAACGCCACACCTTACTGTACTGAAGTCCTAGATCTCAGCCTGGATAAGTACCTCCAAAAGTCTCCACCTCGAGTCCTGATTTTGGTCCAGACAAGATCCAGGTCTGATTCTAATTTAGCAGTGGATTAATACGTTCTATATCTTCTATTTTGGGGTATATCTTTGTTAAAATTCTTGTCTCAGAGCGGTGAATCTTGTTAAAATCTGATGCCTGCAGTTTGCCTGGATTGGTGTAGTGACAAGAGTGGCCAGTAAGGGGAGTAGTTCTGCTGAATCGGGCACCAGAAGAGACGGAACACACACAGAGACTAAAGGATAGAAAGAGAAGGAGGGAGGGGGTGAGACGCGGGCTTTTATTATAACTTTATTCAGCGGTAAAAAGTATGATTCAGTCGGAAAATTGAGTAATTGCACTGTATTTGAGGTTGAGGTTTCTGTAGTAGTAGTTGTGGTAGCAGTAGTAGTAGTAGTAGTAGTACCAGTGCCAGTCATTGTAATAGTAGCAACAATAGTAGTAAAAGTAGGCAAGGCAAGTTTAAAAAGTAGTTGTAGTTTTCAGTTGTGCTTTTTATTGCTTTTATCATCAACATGTTTACAGCTGTAGGTACTTTTATGTTTAAGTACTTTTTTGTGTGCCTGTCGTAATCATAGTAGTAGCAGTTGTAGTGGAAGTAGTAGTAATAGTTAGGGGTGTAACAATAACCGAAATATCATGATATCGTATCGTCAAAAGTCTCACAATATATCGAATCACAAGTTCCTTTGCTTAAATGCATGGTTTTATCGTAGTAAAGCTTATAAACATGAGGGAACTACATATCCCATGATTCATTTCAGTGCAACATGAAGAACATATGTTTTTTTACTTGAATTCTTGGGATTATGAAGGTAATAATTCACACCAAAATCATGTCAAGTTTTTTTTAAAAGCCAAAACGTGTCCGGTCTACAATTATATAAGCCTCTTTAAAATATTGTAGTAAATATCGAACCGTGAGATGCATATCGTGATAATATCGTACCGTGAGATTTGGATATTATTACATCCCTCATAATAGTAACGCTTACTTTGGCCTAGGATCATTAAAATTGTAGAAATAGTAGTAGTAGTAGCAGTAGTAGACGTAAAAACATGTGCTTGCAGTAGAAGTAGTAGT